TAGTGAAATGAAAATCTTAATTTGTTCCCAAAAACTGATTAAGCATAACTGGACTGTGAAATTGGATCGCAAAGACAAGTCAAGTGAGAGTTGAGTTAGTTAAACAAGTTGGGAATTGGATCATGAGTAGAAGTGGGTGACCAGGAGGGAGAACTTTGATTGCTTGTATAATCAGCAATGTATAATTAATAAATTTATTGTAACTGAAAGATTTGTTGTGCATGGCAAAGCCCTTTATTAGCAATATAAAATGAACTTGAAAAAATCTATTGTGGCTGAAAACCTTTGTGCATTTTAGTTTAGTGTAATTAGTTTACACTAATTAAAAATTAGTTTAGTGTAATTTTAACATTTGCCGACTGTAATTAGAATTGGTCAAGTATGACTATTCAATTTCTTAAGTGGGATTTTAGGATTGGAAGTATGTGGCAATTAAATATTATGTACTGAATACAATTAAGATTGACTCAGCATGGCTGTGGAGTTTGTTGAATGTTAAAAGTCTGACTGAGTTTGATGAATTCATCTGGTATTTGGCTTTGAAAATTTTGTCTTGTGCATAATTTTATGTTGATTGTAAAGATGTTGGCTTGTGACATGCAGCAGCGAAGTAGTGTGAGCTTTCAAGGCTGTCAATTATATCTAGATTGCATCAGTTTCTTCAGCCTCCTGTGATCCCCTGTCAAGAGAAGTGGATAACTGTTCTGAAAAGAAACGAGCACTTTGCTGTCGTGTATTCAAAATCTGTTTGATTATTAGCTTCTCTTGGCATCCTGGACTAATCCTGTATCTTTGCCACAAGCTTGCGTGTGAAGAACTCGAACCATGAGATGCTGAAGTTGTTGTACAGTAGTTGAGTTACAGATTGTACCATGTGAGAGAGAGATTATAAAGCAGTATATAAACCATTCTAAAATTATTATCTTGGGCATCTCTTTAAAGCTTGACTGGACCAGCACTTAACTTGGGAAGCTACTGATGGCCTACCAGAAAATGGGGTTTCATTACCTTTGATTAGAGCTTGTGTTGCGATAGAATTGAGGTGTTAAACTAAAATGCTTTTTTATAGATAGTTTGGGAGAATTAAACACAAAATTACTCAGAGTAGGATAGTCTGATAGAAATAAAAATTTAAATTATTTTATTGACATAATTTTGGGGAGAAGTCATTGTAATTACAAAATCTAATTACATTTTGATGGACAGTTTGAAAGAAGTAACAACTGTTATTGTGAGCTCTCTCCTGCTATTCTGTCTGCCAAGCCAACACTTAACAATCAGCAAAGCTTTTGAATGATCTGTCCCTTAATTGTAAATTTGCCTTAAGTGTTATACTTTTCTTCTATTTTTTTTTGCTTCAAATTCCTGTTCTAAATAGGTTACCTTCTCAATACCATTGAGATTTGCTCTTTCCTGCTTCTTGTATTTTGTTTTCACCAAGTAGTTGGCCACGTGGTTGTGGTGGTCATTATGTATCAGTGTAGCATCATCAGAATTACACGCCCACATTGTGTTCTTCAACTAGCGGACATCCACCAGTTGTTGTTTTTTATGTCTGCACGTTCGAAGGCCATATATTCTCATCGTGGTTCATTAAAGTTTTCTGGTCTTGTCAAATTTGTTCACGCAAATTGGATTAGGGTTCAAAAATGCTGTAATTTTGTTTGTTTTGTTGTCAATACCATCTTATATTTATCATGCCTCGTATTATGACTTTTTCCAATTCAAATTTGGCAAGACTATCTACACTATACACACATCTCTGGAATAATTTGTGTATGGTGTTCAACTTGTCTTTTTTGTAAGGAAGTTTACTAGGCGAGGAGCAGACTGTGGTACTTGTTACTTCTGAACTAGGTTAGGCAACACAGCTGAAGGAGTAGTGCTAGCAAAGGACCTTTAGTACATGTTGCAGTGTAGCTCATATATTTTGGTTAATAAATATTAATATATATAAATTAACTTTGTGTTTTTTTCAATTCCTATAATCATGGAAAACCTAACTAATCAATTTCTTAGCTTCAGTAGTGTTTGTAAAGGACATTTAGTAGATGCTGTGTAACTCATATTTGTTGTAATTAATGTTAATATAAATAAATGACTTGTTTTTAATTCTGAAACTGCTCTGGTAACATTTGACTTGAGTGTTCTCTGGTCTTAGAGAATGTCTGGGCTTCCATCCATTGCTAAAGTACCTACTCTAAATCTTTCATTTACAGCTTAGCAAAGCACATTGACCCTCCCTTGCCAGAGATGGAAAAAATGCAGTCTTTTAAAAAATAAAATGCTGTACCTGCATCAGTATCTTGAAGTATGACGAAGATTAATTTAGCAAGACACCTCCAGGCTAAAGGCACATTCGAGTATCACTGCACGAACATGTATTCAATGATGGGGTTGCCTGGTGAGTGTTGCTTTGGTTTACTTCATGTTTATATGAATATGTAAATATTGTTGGTAAATGTGTAAATTTCTGGAAAGGCTCTCTTGGGAGCTTCTACTTGGATAACTCCAGCCAATTCAATACATACCAGCTCCTTACAAGTTATTGTAAGCCTACCAGGGACCAGAGGCCAAAACCTGGCCCCACTTTAAAGGTTACAATGAGATTGCTCTGTCATGCCTAGTTTGCAGTGTTGTTAGCCCTGTGGCCCTCAACCATTCCTGATACGAGAGATGACTTTGATCTGGAATTATTTTTGCTGCTCGGTGTTGCACTTTCTCCAGAGCAGCCGTGTCTTTCTGAAGATGAGATCTCCATGCCTGGATGCAAAAATCCAGGTGAGGCACACCAGAGTAGTGCACAGTGTACAGGTCTTTGACTTCTCTGTAAGAATTTGTGGATAGGGGCAGTCTGTTTTTTTTTTTTTTTTTTTAAAGGGTCGCACAGGGTACTCGTGTGCTCATTTTGTGCCATGTCGCTCACACCCTTAACAGCCACCTATGCCCCTAGGCTGTTTTTAACATTTGTGATATTCAGCAAGTACAGTCCTTCCCCTATTTCAAGTGTTTCCTATTTGGTCATTCCTTCAGAACCCAGCAAGGCCTTTTGTAGGGTTTTATTATGGTTGAAGAATGTGCCTCAGGATTGATGTACTGTACTGTGGTGGCCAGTCTTACTGCTCTGTCATGCTGTCTGTTGAGTAAGGGTTTTATTCATTACAGATTCAGGAACGGGGCATCAGGCTAACTGCTTCCCAGTTCTCCTGTTGAGCTTGAATCTGGCTTCCTCAGTGTTAAGCAGGTTGGCATGTGTAGTGGTTTATAACGTTTGGGTGTTAGGGGTTAACATCTTAAACTACACAATGACTGGCTGGTTTGGGCTCTCAGCCAGTCTGTGTCTGCAAGCCAAGGATCTGGTTTTTTCCAACCTGCAAGTTTCGAGTTACTAGTACTGGTGAATTGACCAAAGGCTCATTTGGTTCCGTCTCTGGTTGGACCTGGTTGGGCCTAGTCTGGAATTCTCGGTCGGCTTCCCTCTTCCTTCCACCTGTGTCCCTGATGCACTTGCATGTGTCTGGCTGGTGGTGGCAAGTCTCCTGGTTATCTGCCATTTTGTCAAACTGTTGTGCAGGAGTCTGAACTTTGCCTATGTTGTGCGTTTTCTTGACTTTGGTTTTCCATCTACTTGGCTAAATGACTGCCATGCCAGAGCTGCGGAGGTCAAAGATAAAGGTGCACATTTCCCTGCAGATGAACTAACGAGTGAACTGCTGCATGACCAGGTGGCTCATTCGTTTCAGGGGGTCTGATGTCCTGTTTTCTATGCTTTTTATCTTGCTGATTGTATGTTTTGGCTCGCCCACCTTTCTTGTGCCCTGTTCTTGGCTTAGGCCCGCCAAACACACACCGAAACTACGACGTTGGTACAACGTTCAAATAAGTTTTAACACCTCTTAACCAGTTATAACAACCAATATAGCAAGTTGTAACAACGTTCTAATACGTCATAAACACCTTAAGCCAAGATGTAACAACTTTATTACAAGTTGTAACAAGCGGAAAATAGAGACAGATTCGGTTTGTGTTTCCAGGGGGGTGATCTGTATTCTGTGTGCTCCTGATGGCTATCATAGAGGGCATCAGGTTTTGGCCTGGTCCCCAGTAGATATACAATGACTCACATGCAATGAATTGGGTGGAACTATCCAGGTAGCTAGCATGAAGGACCCACCAGAAAAAGGTATTTCATTACATTTAATTTTTGTTGTTGTCCCAAAAGTGGTAGAAATTTTATCAAATTTATTTGTTTGATGTGTAGTTGAAACTTAACCTCTCAATAAGCTTTTTCTGTTATTGTGGTGGCAAACTCATAATGATTTTATAGCAGGGTATGTTAGTGGTTACTGTTGATGGCAAAATATATTTGTGTTACTATTAAATGTCTGTTTAGAGGCAATTAGTAAATTTATGGACAACAATGTGTCTAAATAAAGAACAACAAAACATGTAGCTGCAGACCAACATTACAACCATGTGGACTAACGGTATACATGTGAGAACCAACAGTACATGTGTGAGAACCACGAATACACATGGCAGTCCAACACTACTTACGTGGACCAATGGTACCTGCATGTGAACTAACAGTACCCATGTGTTGACCAACAGTACACACATAAGGACCATGTGAGACTGAAGTACATGTGAGAACCAACAGTACACACACGAGGGCCAATAGTACACACAAGAATATCAATATCATCTATAGATAAAGATCACTGTTACCGACGATCAACAATACACGCTGATGAGAAACAACGGTGTAGAGAAGTGGTGTATATATATTTTGCATGTATTCAGATTTTTGTTCCTTAAATAAAGGATAAAGTGAAATGAATAAAAAAAAATTTGCACAACTACTGTACTAGTTCTAAATCACTATATAGTATTATAAATGATGGTTTTTTCATCATCAAGGGAGGGACAAGCAGCAGAGGTTTATAAGGGTAAAACCAGGTAGGAATAAAACAAATGAGGTAAGTGTGAGAGACAGGAGAGACTTTGTTACAATTTATATTTGTACAATCTACAAATAAAGTCTACTCATCCTTTTACTTCTCTACATCATAATAAATATTGTGCATTCGTCCTGTGATTTTAATGCTATATGCTTGATATCACATGGTACTATTTACATACACTGAAGCACAAAATGCCAATGTATATAATAATAATAATAATAATAATAATAACAATAATAATAATACCTGTAATGATAAAATACACTAATAATGAGAAGAAAAAATAATGGGAAGATGTGAGGAGACATGAACCTGCAACCAAGGTATTACCAGCCACATACTCTACCACTGTACCATCACAAACATGTTCAAAGTCTTGCAACCGGATTTCTAGTGAAATCACAGGAGGTCTGTGATTTCTGTTACGTTATACATAAGCCCAACAAGCACTCGGGTGAAGGGTAAGTGTTAGAGTATGCAGCTGGCAATGCCTTGATCACAGGTTCGTTACTCTTCACCCGAGTGCTTGGGGGTATTATGTAAAACTTGGACAGGCTTCAGAATGGGCCTCCAGACTTCCTGTGATTTCAGTAGAAACCTGGTTGTAAGACATTTACTAAATCAGTGGTGGTACAGTGGTAGAGTATATGGCTGGCAATGTCTTAGTCACGGGTTCGTATTGATGTACGTACAGGTATGTCACATTAGTGTGATTTTTCTGTGTATATAATAATACACAGAGTAGTCACACTATTGTGATGCATCAATGAGCAAATCCATAGAAGCCGTGATGAGGGTTCGAACCTATGTGCTGGGTGTTCCCACGCACAAGCTCTAGAAAACTATGCCACAACATGGTCTAGACCATGTTGTGGCATTGGTTCGAACCCTCATCACAGTTCTTACGGATTTGCTCAATAATAATAATAATAATAATAATAATAATAATAATAATAATAATAATAATAATAGCTGTAATAATAATAATAATAATAATAATAATAATAATAATAATAATAATAATAATAATAATAATAATAATAATAATAATGTTATTTAAAACAAATACAGAGGCTCAGATTAAAGTACAGTGGCTACTTGGCTCCTTGGCCCTGATCAGTAAGAGGCCAAATCATAGAAATGTGGCATAATGTTGAAAGCTTTGTACACTGCTCTAGTTTCAACAGCCCTCACTTCTGTAAAGTAGAGTAATTACAAAATTACAAATGTTGATGCATAAATATTAGCATAAGTTGGTAAAAGATATTGGATGTCTTGTAATTTAAATGTGTTTTTAGGAACCTGACTGACCTTGTATACTGGCATGGCTCCCTTTATTTCACAGTAATGGCTCATCAGTACCTCCCATATTGGTAAACCTTAAAAAAAATGCCACAACAACTAAAATCTAGAGCAGACGATGAACCACAAAAATGTGGCTGAAGATACGATGACTAAACCATACATGAGAAAGTGAAGAAACAACAGCATTTCAGTCCGGCCTGGACCATTATCAAGCTGTGTGATTGATAATATAATGATAACACAGCTTGGTAAGGGTCCAGGGCAGACTGAAACATTGTTGTTTCTTCACTTTCTGATGTGTGCTTTGGTCATCATCATCATTAAAATCTAAGAGATTTGTTATGGTTTGATGAGGAAATTAGCCATCTTAATAAGTAAAGTAAGCAATACTAATGATGGAAAGTAATACTAATTCAAGGCTTGAGCTTCTTGCATTAAAGCCCTTGCCTTGGTCCTGTATTCAATTATGTAATCTTGTTTCAAAGACGATACATCACTGGTAGAGTCGGAAATCTGTGAGGAATTTAGTGGATGACAGTGGAATCTGGACGACCTGGGAGAACGTCTGTTGGATACGGAATGACAAGTCATGAATCTGGGGGAGGGCTACTGTTGGATAATGCACGACATGTCATGAATCTGGGAGGCTACTATTGAATAATGCACGACATGTCATGAATCTGGGAGGCTACTATTGAATAATGCACGACATGTCATGAATCTGGGAGGCTACTATTGAATAATGCACGACATGTCATGAATCTGGGAGGCTACTGTTGAATAATGCACGACATGTCATGAATCTGGGAGGCTACTGTTGGATAATGCATGACATGTCATGAATCTGGGAGGCTACTGTTGGATAATGCATGACATGTTATGAATCTGGGAGGACTTATGTTGGATAATTATAATACAGGTAGTTCACTATGTCAGGGAACAGGTAGCCAGTATTATATTGAGGTCTCCCCAGGGCCAAACTACAGGCCCTCCCCAGAATGCAACCCCACAAGCTGACTAATATTAATCATGTAATGTTTTGAACCTACTGATGATTTTAGCATCAACCACTACCTCCTCACTTCAATTGTTCCAACCCTCAATAACTTTGTTCACAAAAAATAACATTCAAATATTGTTTTGGCACCTTTGTTACCTTAGATTGAATGTGTGGCCTTTTGTAGTAATTACCTAAGTGTAGTTACAGGATGAGAGCTACGCTCGTGGTGTCCCGTCTACCCAGCACTCTTTGTCACATAACGCATTGAAACTACTGGCGGGTTTGGTCTCCACCACCTTCTCACTTAACTTGTTCCAACCGTCTACCACTCTGTTTGCGAAAGTGAATTTTCTTATATTTCTTTGGCATCTTTGTTTAGTTAGTTTAAATCTATGACCTCTTGTTCTTAAAGTTCCAGGTCTCAGGAATTCTTCCCTATCGATTTTATCAATTCCTGTTACTATTTTGTATGTAGTGATCATATCACCTCTTTCTTCTGCCTTCTAGTTTTCGCATATTTAATGCCTCTAACCTCTCCTCGTAGCTCTTGCCCTTCAGTTCTGGGAGCCACTTAGTAGCATGTCTTTGCACCTTTTCCAGTTTGTTGATGTGCTTCTCAAGATATGGGCACCATACAACCGCTGCATATTCTAGCTTTGGCCTAACAAAAGTCGTGAACAATTTTTTTAGTATATCGCCATCCATGTATTTAAAAGCAATTCTGAAGTTAGAAAGCGTGGCACAGGCTCCTCACACTACGTTCTTTATGTGGTCCTCAGGTGATAGTTTTCTATTGAGAACCACCCCTAGATCCCTTTCTTTATCAGAATTCTTTAAAGATTTCACATAATTTAAATGTTGTGTGGAGTCTGTTCTCCTATTCCACATTCCGTAACATGGCATTTATTCACATTAAATTCCATTTGCCAAGTGGTGCTCCATATACTTATTTTGTCCAGGTCTTCTTGAAGGGCATGACAATCATCTAAGTTTCTTATCCTTCCTATTATCTTAGCATCATCAGCAAACATGTTCATATAATTCTGTATTCCATCTGGTAGATCATTTTTTTTTTTTTTTTTTTTTTTTTGATATATACAAGAGTTGTTACATTCTTGTACAGCCACTAGTACGCGTAGCGTTTCGGGCAGGTCCCTGGAATACGATCCCCTGCCGCGAAGAATCGTTTTTTCATCCAAGTACACATTTTACTGTTGCGTTAAACAGAGGCTACAGTTAAGGAATTGCGCCCAGTAAATCCTCCCCGGCCAGGATTTATGTAGACAATGAACATCACCGGTGCAAGAACTGAAACCTGTGGTACTCCACTTGTGACATTTCTCCAGTCCGATACATTGCCTCTGATTACTGCCCTCATTTTTCTATCAGTCAGAACATTTTTCATCCATGTTAAAAGCCTACCTGTCACTCCTCCAATATTTTCCAGCTTCCAGAACAACCTCTTATGTGGAACTCTGTCGAAAGCCTTTTTTAGGTCCAGATAGATGCAGTCAACCCAACCATTTCTTTCCTGTAAAATCTCTGTGGCTCGATCATAGAAACTGAATAAATTCGATACACAGGATCTTCCAGATCAAAAACCATACTGTCTGTCTGATATTATATCATTTCTCTCCAGGTGTTCTACCCATTTAGCTTTTATTATTTTTTCCAATACTTTCACTATTACACTTGTCAATGATTCAAGTGTGTATTCACCTAGTTGTGCTTGCGGGGGTTGAGCTCTGCTCTTTTGGCCCCCTCTCAACTGTTACTAACTAGTAACTTGTGGTATTTACGCATTAATGGGACGAGAGCCCATTCAATATGGACCTGTTATTTAAGAACCAAAGCAGATTGAGCTCTAATATTTTGCTCATTTTCATTTTGGGTCTAGGGCTACTTTATTACAAAATTTCATTAGATTTAGAAAGGTTCGAGTGGGAGACCTTTGGTGAATTCACATGGAATGACCCCAATGTACAGTATACTTATTTTGTCCAGGTCTTCTTGAAGGGCATGACAATCATCTGTTTCTTATCTTCCCTATTATCTTAGCATCATCAGCAAACATGTTCATATAATTCTGTATTCCATCTGGTAGAGCGTTTTTGTAAAGAATGAACATTACCGGTGCAAGAACTGAACCCTCTGGTACTCCACTTGTGACATTCCTCCAACCATCAGGACTCCGGCGGTCGTCCTTACAACCTGGCCACGACTCTTCCTTGTTGTGTGTGTGTGTGTGTACTCACCTAATTGTGCTTGCGGGGGTTGAGCTCTGACTCTTTGGTCCCGCCTCTCAACCGTCAATCAACAGGTGTACAGGTTCCTGAGCTTATTGGGCTCTATCATATCTACACTTGAAACTGTGTGTGTGTGTGTGTGCGTGTTGTGGGGTGGCAGAAGTGGGGCAGTGATTATGAGAAGTGTGTTTTAAGGTTGCGGTAGCAGTGGGAAATGTGTAGGAGTGGGCGTATGATGAGTGTGTGTATATTGTTGAGGTGCTAATGGTGCTGATGTTGGCTTTGGTTCGGAGTGTTGTAGGTTGCGAGGATCAGAGCCTACCAGGGACAGCAGGGCTGGCAGCACCACCAGGCCCTGGAAGAGACCCAACACAGACATGCTCGTGAAGATCTTGAAAAATGCAAAGAAAAGGTGAGATTGTGACGGTGCAAGGGCTAGGAAGGCGAGCAGTGTGGAGAGTCCAGCATGTAGAACTGCTGGGCCCACGGTGGACACTGCTGCCTGTGCTCGTGCTTGCCTACTTCCCTTGCCCTCCAGGAAGGCATGTGCAATGTGGGCAGCATAGTCAACGCACAGACCCACAGCCAGTACAAGAGCAATGGTGGTGACAGTGTCAACAGTGAGACCTGATAGGTGCATGAGGGCAGCTACCTCCACCAGCGTGGCTACTACACATCCAACCACCAGTAGTGCTACTAGGCCTGCCCCAACAACTACCATTGCTACAACAGCTACCACACTTATCACCAAACCCAGATTGCGCCACAGCTCACTTGCCAGACTGGCATCAGTCTCCCACTGACTGTAGACATGAGCCCAAGCTGCATGGTAGCCAGACACATTGCAACTCTCCACCATCTGCCTCACCTCCGCCATGGCTTCTTGCTGCTGCCACCGTTCATCGAGTCTTCGGTAGACGAACTCCAGCTTAAATGCAGAGAATGGTGGGGCTGGATCATGGCATTCCAAAGGTTCATCAAAAACAAAGTATGGTATGAAGCGTGCCCCAATTTTAGACTGTAGAAATATGCCTAGTGCCTCATGCAATAACTCTTCAGTAAGTTTGCGACCAGAATATCTATAATCATGGTACATGTAGATGTCAAGTTCGGAAAACCAGGAATCAACTTTGGCAATGTAAGAGGATTGACGGAGGGAGTCAGCCAAGGCATTCAGAGCAGGAAGTTCTTCTGGCAGGCTCACATTGGCAAAATACACACTGCCTCTCTCTCCTACCGTTGGGAAGCAGCGATCCATAGCATCAAACCAGTGATAGAGATATGAGGAATGAGGCAGGAACCATACTGGGTTGAACTGCTGCCTGAGACTGACTGCACCCCACACTCCTCCTCCAACCATGACTACTGCCACCACCACCACGACTGCTGCTACTTCTGGCATTACAACCACCCTGGCATATCTTTTCATGACCCATTCCACAAACCCTCTACTATGCTTGCATAATAGTTCAATGCTGCACTTGGTTGTGGATGACACCCTAGTATGTTGGTCTATGGCAAGGGCAGCTACGAATATAGTCACCTGCAACAGGTAAACAGCAGCAATGCCAGAAGCTGCATAGATGCAGAACCATCGTAGGGCTGGTACCTGTGTACTGGAGCCAACCAAGAAAGCTACTATATCAGTGAGGGAAGTGAGAGTGATTGCTACTCCAGCTTTCCTCAACGCCTGCTTACTCTGCTCTGCCACTGTTACACCTTGCCCGCCCACAGCCTCCCAGGCTCCCACCACCACATACATGTCATCCACTCCTAAACCCACAAGTAACACGGGCAACACCGAGGTGATAGGGCCATAGGGCACACCAAATGCTGAACACATGCCGTAGGAGGCTGCAACAGCCAATGCTACACACAGGAGTCCCACCAGGGCAGGAAGTGGCCTGCCAAGTGTTGCCACCACATACACCACCATTGCCACCCACCCTACTATCACCCATATCACATCATCCATGATAGCTGTTGAGCTCACCTTCCCGAAGCTGTGGGCAGCGTGGACATAAAGAGTGACATCGCTGGGTATATGTGCTTGTTGTGCTTGGTGTAGGAGTGCCACCTCCCAGGCCATGCTCTCCTGGTCCACTAATTGGCCAGTACCCAGGTCCACTTCGCTGGAGGTGCTGTTAGTATTGACCATGGTGACCCAAGTGTGGAGGGCCGACCTGGCTGCTACTATATGGCCAGAATCATCCCTCTCTACCCCACCAAGGAAGTCTGTTACCTGTAGTGGGTACCCGAAGACATGACTCGTTGTCATCTCATTAACATCATGCAGCACCTCTTCATTGGTAAGGTTCATGAGTAGGTGCTGGTGGTAGCCCCACACCTCCAGCACACCTCTCTCATAACACAGGCTGGGTAGGCTGTTCAGCATACTGCAGTACATGTCTCTTGGTAACATATGGCTGTAATCAGTTTTTGCTGTCTCCCATACCTCTCTTGGCACTCTGCTCATGAGTTCTCTCTCCTTCTGACTAGCCTGCTTCAGGGGCCATTCATTGCTGCCCTTCCCTTGGACCTGGTTGGTGTCCTCTGGAGTATGGCTGGCATCCCCTGGAGCATGACTGGTGTCTCCTGTTACTTGACTAGAGTCTTCTCGGGCTGGGCTGGTGTTCCCTAGGACTTGGGTGGTGGTCTCTGTGGTTTGGTTACTGTTCTCTGGGGCTGAACTGGAGTTCCATTGGGTTGGGTTGGTGGGGTTATCCCCTGGAGCTGGGCTGGTGTCCTTTAGGGTTTGGAGGTTGTACCTTGGAGCTGGGTTGGAGTCCTGTTGGGATTTGCTGAAGTTCATGATTGCCTGATTTGTATCTTCTGATGCTTTACTGGAGTTCCATGTGGTTGGACTGGTTGCCTCTGGGGTTTGGCTGGTGTCTACTGAGGTTGGGTTAATCTTCCTTGTGTCATGGCTTGTACCCCTTGTTCTTTGACCAGTGTCCCTTGTGGTCTGGTTGGCATTTCTTGGAGCCTGGCTGATGTTCCCAAAGACTTGTTTGGCATCCCTTATGGATGCAAGGATGCTACCCTTTTGAGCCTCATAATCTTCTTTCCCTTTATGGTTCTCAGCAGGAAGGGGTTCAAAAGGGGCATCCCGAATGGTGCGATGATGGCTGGTGTCAGTAATGAGGGAGGGAACACGAGTGCAGACGTGATCCCAAGTGACAACAGAATCTCCTACGTTCAGTGTGAGATTGACAATCTGCTGGTGAAGACGCCACATGCTTCTCACAGTCCGTCCAGTCAGGAGGTTCTCATTGGCTTCCCACAACAACACCTGGGAGCGATAGTTGCTCGGGAAGTTCTTCATTCTCCAGTCATTAACCTGGAATCAAAAAGAATATCAGTGTTCTTATCCTCTGCCTTTTCACCTGGAAGCAGAACAAGATTGGTGACCATATATTAGCATCTCTAAAGTCACAAATCACACCAACTACACCAGTCAATTGAAGGTTGAGAGGCAGACTCCAGGTACCTATACCAGAATTGATCAGGACAATTAACTGAATAGACTACATCACAGGTCTTCCTCCCCATACTGAAATACATGACAAAACCAGCATTGAATGTAATGAAATGCCATTTTCTGGGCGAGACCCGGAGGCTCCCCGGAGCTATACCAGGCTGATATGCTATCTTATCTTGAGGTTATCTTGAGATGATTTCGGGGCTTTTTAGTGTCCCCGCGGACACAGTCCTCGACCAGGCCTCCACCCCCAGGAAGCAGCCCGTGACAGCTGACTAACACCCAGGTACCTATTTTACTGCTAGGTAACAGGGGCATAGGGTGAAAGAAACTCTGCCCATTGTTTCTCGCCGGCGCCTGGGATCGAACCCAGGACCACAGGATCACAAGTCCAGCGTGCTGTCCGCTCGGCCGACCGGCTCCCTAATGTTGCTAATGTTAGACTTTGGCATCAGTCATGTGTATGGAGTTCTAGGGCCTACCGGGGACCACGGCCAGAACCTGGCCCCCTCAGAGAGGCAAGGGGAACAATGGCCTATAGAAACCCTTGTGTGGTTGGAAGCATTCTATGTCTGCCATCGACCGGGTCAAACAACTAGAAAGGTAAGCATCCAAAAACAAACCCCTATTCTGGTAAAAATTGCTACCAAAAGCCAAACTAGTGGATAGAACTCCCCAACAGAAAACAAGCAAACAAGTATGACGTCACACGTCACCGCGCCTCTGTCTGCACAGCTCCACCCTTCCCTGGGAGGGGGAGCCCCAGATCTCTCACGCTGGCTATCCACCCATCAGTTCTGAGGCTGGATGTCAAAACACGCGAAAAACCGCTGACCGGAGGGAGGGAGGGTTGCCGGGGAGCCTCCGGGTCTTGTCCAGAAAATGTTGTTTCATTACATTCAACGCTGGTTTTCTAGGGGAAGCCCTGTCGGCTCCCTGGAGCTAACTACCAACAGAGGAAGGTCAAAGGGACGGATCCGGGAGGCGAACACCACGCACCCCTCAACGGCAAACGAGACAACTGGCTGCAACCGCCAACCCAAGGCAACACAGGCCCGAACGAGCCTGGGAACGACACGAGACAACGAGCAGCCAGGCCCCAGTACGACCGCCAAAAAGCCCAGTACCCACAGCAAGGACACGCCGCCAAGACGGCAGCAAGAGCAGGGAAATCACGTTCACCATGGGCAAAGAACACAGGCTGGCTAGCCGCAATAACACGGCGGACGACCCGGGACACCTTTTCCCGCGAACAGGGAAGAACGGAACCGGATCAACTGAAAGCGTGCCCAGGACACAGAAGCCGCGGCATGCAATTAACAGCAGAGGGCTGCAACTGAACACAAAACACGATGCACCCCCGGCCCGACCAACCAGGCACCAACAAACCAAGGACCCCCTGGAACGCTGCAGCCTCACCCTGTACCAGGAAAGAGGGAGACAGCTGCAACCAAACAAACCAAACGCCACGACTGAAGGAGAGCAAGAAGCTCAGCGACCTGAGGCCTAGAGGCGAACGTCAACAGGAAAAAAGCCGTCAAAACAAACCCGAACCGAAGGGGCCACCACCAACCAAGGAGAAGCAAGAGCACGCTGCCCAGAGACCAGGACGGCCCAAGTGGCACAAGAACAGGCCGGAGGTGAAACAACCCACGAGACAGCCTATGAACTGCGCAGATGTAACACCAAGACCGAAAGCAAGCCGAAGTGGCTCCGCTAGCGCCGCACAAAACGAGGCGACAGTATGCGGCAAGTCAACGGCCCCCAACCCCCCAGTAGAAAAGCCAAGCTGACGCCAACAAACGCAGCCACCTAAGAAGGGACAGAAGGAAAAGGAAGGACCGCCAGATTACCCCATACTGCCGCCAAGAAAAGCACGTAGGTGGGACACCAACTATGAAGCCACCCGACCACCTACCAAAGGTGAGAGACTCGAGGCAGAACCCAACCGGCCCCGTCAAGGTTCATCCAAGCCTAGGAAGAGGCAGAGCCGCAGGAAGATCTCGGGCGCAACCACCGAGGTGGCAGAGCCAGAAACCCAGCCAAAACTAAAGAAGCCACCAACCAAAACAGGGCAGCCTTGGGGTTTCTGGGGAGCAAACAACCTAGCGTGTTGCTATTGAAACTAACGTGCAACGCCCATGCTGCCTGCACCCACTTAGTCAGCAGAAGACTGGGTAACCGAGCCACAGCAAGCAACAAAACTCGCAGGACCCCGGGCTGAAGGTGTCACCGACCCCACAGGCAGCTGACGGAGGCAAAACAACGAGTGTCACCCTGAGACAAGGTGACAGAGCAACCGTCAAACTCGCACAAAGCGAGGGGGGGGACTCCTGGGCCACATCCATCGGGCCCACGCTCCCCCTAGGGTTTTCCCAGGGTCCTGAGCGTTTACTATAAGAGGACTCGCGCTCAGGTAATCCCAGGCAGGATACTGCTAACCGGCGCCCATGTCTACCAAACAACCTTGAAGGACCGGAACCTGGAGCCGAACCTTCTAAGAACTGAACCCCCCGGGACAAGTACACTCACGGAGACCTAGCAGGGGGAACCACCGGAAGAAGGAAGAGAATCCAGTACAAAGGGGGTAAGAACCAAAGGCAAACCCATACCAGGTAGACAAACAAAAAGGAAAAAGAAAACCCCCGCAAGAGGACAGTGTACCCAGGTGGAAGAGAGCCGACCGCTATTATTGGTGAAAACAAGCTGCACAGTACCCTGTGCCCCTACCAGTGCAACCTGCCCCTTACCCTAAGGCGAACAAGGGAGACAGAACCCCCTATCACACAAAGGGCGACCGAAAACCAAGCAGTAAACGGCCTAGCAGAAGCAGGACCCAAGGAACTTGTGGAAGGTAACCCCAAGCCCCAAGGGCAGTACTTACAGGGCACCTAGGGAAGGCAACGCTAGGCGCATGCAGCCCGAGTACTGGAGACTCACTCCCGGCTCACGCACCACCTAGAAGACAGACACCACGCTCTAGGCACAGTGCTGAAACAACCACTGGAGCCGAAGCACACAACCAGTGCCTATAGCATCAGCCTCAGAACTGATGGGTGGATAGCCGGCGTGAGAGGTCTGGGGCTTCCCCTTCCCCCTCCCGGGGAGGGGGCAGCTGCGCAGACAGAGGTGCGGTGATGTGCAACGTCATACGGGGAGCTATGACGGGCAGCCGGTCGACCGAGCGGACAGCACGCTGGACTTGTGATCCTGTGGTCCCGGGTTCGATCCCGGGCGCTGGCGAGAAACAATGGGCAAAGTTTCTTTCACCCTATGCCCATGTTACCTAGCAGTAAAATAGGTACCTGGGTGTTAGACAGCTGTCACGGGCTGCTTCCTGGGGGTGGAGACCTGGTCGAGGACTGGGCCGCGGGGACACTAAAGTCCCAAAATCGTCTCAAGATCTCAAGATAACCTCAAGATACTTGTTTGCTTGTTTTCTGTTGGGGAGTTCTATCCACTAGTTCAGCTTTTGGTAGCAATTTTTACCAGAATAGGGGGTTTGTTTTGGGATGCTTACCTTTCTGGATGTTTGACCCGGTCGATGGCAGACATAGAATGCTTCCAACCACACAGGGGGTTTCTATAGGCCATTGCTTCCCTTGCCTCTTTGAGGGGGGGCCATGTTCTGGCCGTGGTCCCCGGTAGGCCCTAGAACTGCATACACATGACTGATGCCAAAGTCTGACATTAGCATATCAGCCTGGTATAGCTCCGGGGAGCTGATGGGGTTTCCCCCAGAAAACTGACGAACTCTACAGCCTCTGGATTTTTTTTTTTTTTTAATATTTTCTGAATCAAGTGTCTAATTCTGAATAGGCATCTGATTCTGATAATAATGTAGTCTGATATTGATAGTTCTGATTTTAACAACAGTCTGAGACTGAAAAGAATGAATCTAAATAGAGACAAAGTCTGGCAAATTTTATAAATAGTTCTAACACAACTAGTAAATTTAAATCTGACATAATAGTTGTTGCACCCAGATATTACACACACCCTGGCAACTTCAGTTGATAAATCTTATAATTACAAATTATGATGACCTCTGAACAATTATTGCCACTCTGACAAAATCCTTTCACCAATATTAACAAGAGAGAGAGAGAGAGGACTCCATTACATGGCAATGTTTGTATACTTAACAATACTGGTGATAACTATCTGCTTTGAGTGGTGAACAGGAGTGCCTGGCCAACCATACCTGCAACTGTTCATCCTACAATGTGATCTGCAACTGTTGGAAACATAGTCGGCTACTGTGCACTACTACACAGTATTTAACAAATTATGTACTATCAAATGTGACATATTCCAGTGGTCAAACACTGAAATAGAAATGGAAATGTCTTTGACTCGGTTACATATTGGTCATTTAGTGGAACAGACCTGCACTTCCTCACTCTCAGTTGCATTGTTCCATTTATGGTCACTCATCTTGTGGAATGTTTAATTTTTCAAGATGAGAAAAATGTTGCTTTCCCACTGTTTCTATATGCCAAATGTCTCTAATATGCCACATATATTATGTCTTAGATTCACAGAGGATTCTCTGAGTATCTGCCTTATTTAACATTAATCATATCATGTCTTTCTGCTCTCATATTGGCATATTGAATGATATCTTGGAACTTTTGAATATTAAGAGGCAGTGCTCTACTGTATAGCCATACTGGCTTAATGCTATTTTGACAACTACTGTACTTATATATCTAAATGCCTTATGTGGTTTTTTGTAACATAATCATTGCCTTTCTTTCTCCTACCATCAATGCCAATTTGCATCCTGATTTACCAGAAGGCCATCATCTATCTGATGGCCTTGACAAGAACTGGAAGCCAGTAGCAGGTTAAAGGTCCCAACATTTTTCATTATGATTTTTTCCAACTAGATTTTGAGCTGTTGTAATGTTTTGACATTTATGGCTTCAGTGGGTAGACGGTTCCATGAGTTTAAACCCTACGGGTGAAAAGTATCTCGTGTCTTTTGTCCTACATTGTGGCTTGTTTAGGTTGAAGCTATTGCCCATTGTATATGTTACATCTGACATTTTAAAGAATGGGTCTGGATTAATATTCTCAAACTTGTTTGGTATATTAAAGAGTTTCTCAAATCTGTAAATTTTCAATGTACACCTCATTTGCTAGTTTTATTTACCTTGTTATATATTAATTACTTTATATAAACCTCCACATCACATAAAATTATTAAACATTAACCTTAATCCCTAGTTTCACCAACTTGTCTGGGGTCGAGGAGTAGAACTCCCAAAACCCTCTCCAGGTATCTCTAGGTAACTTTGTACAAATGTAACTGTACTTCTTGGAACTTGGAGATCACTACAAACTGTCAGTGCACACCTCAAGTATTTTGTTAGCTTTAAGGCTCACCTGAAATGTTGTGCTAGTGGCTCTATAAGCCACTACATTGTTCTATGGTCCATTGTTATTTGTAAAGTGTTTTAAATAAATTTGAATAAAATGAATAACAAGAAAATGTCAACACATGGTGTAATATGTGCATCAATGTCATGCTTTTTTATTTTGAGTATGGCATGTTATAGTGGGTATATATCATTACACCTACCTGTGTGAAGTAGCTGTCCTGAGGTATCCAGAGTCGGTAGGGACGCATCTCAAGGGTGAGGTTGAGGAGGCCGAGGGAGGCGAGACCCACGAGGCAGAGGGCGATAAGGATGGCTGAAGTGGTGTGTTGACCCACCTGTCCGCCCCACCATTCACAACATGCCTCCACTGATGTAACTATCACTCTGGTCACGCCGCCTTCACACCAGTACCTGCATGTTGTCAAAATGGGTATGAGAAGCGTTGTCTTCATACAGTGCCATACACATGCACAAAAATCAACAACCTGGCTTTAGGGATGAGAAATCAAGTCTAATGAACCTACTGGAGTTCTGTGCTATAATAACGAAAATAATAAAGGACAGAGGTAGAAGGGCAGTTTGTGTATATGCTTCCCTAGTGTGGCCAGTAGCAGTGTGTGCAGCACATGCATGGAAGTCCCCAAGTGCGACCAATGGCAGTGTGCAGCACCGGCATGGCAGCCCCTAGTGTAGCCAGTGGTAGTCAGCACCTGCATGAGCACCTAGTGTGGCCAGTAGCAGTGTATGCAGCACATCTGTTGTGAGAGAGTGGTTCAGAAAATGTGATATACGACATCTGGTTATACTAGCAGATGGCAGTTTATACAATTCACCTGTATAATCATGGGTTTGTTCCCGCCGCCCAAGTTCACCTGTCGAGTACCAGGTAGTCAGCCAGGGTCGCAGGTGTGACCTGGCTCAGCCAACAGTCTTGATAACCCTTTCCACTCTCTCCCTGTCACCTCACTGAAACCTAGAGTTTACTCAATCAGATGTGGGTGTATGGTTGAGACTGCATTCTGATTGGTGCTCAGTGGGAAAGCTTTACCTTGGGTGAAGCGAGGTATGAGCTTGGCTGGCTTGCCCTTAACTCTCCATTGGTCATTCTCGGTGAAGCTGTGAGCTAAACAGGATGAGTGCTTCCTTGAGCTCCTGAGCACTGGCACCCTTGACAGCTACTATTGCTCACTCCAGATGCATCCTGGTAGAGACAACTCACCATTCATCAACAGCATCAGAAGAAGCGCGTATGAATGTGTGGTGTGACTCTTAAGTAAATTGTATTTATTTTGCATTTGCTATTGACTCACATTTGCGTGGCACTAAGTGCGATCCAGGTGAGCTGAGGCGGTGTTTCTTGTCTAATATCTGTTGCGGCCATTTCTAGCAAGAACCCTTGAGAGGTGTATATATATACTGTATATACATATTCCAACACATGTCAATCTTTATGTGCATGCAAATCATTTTGAGAGCATCACTCTGAGCTTTAAATTGTTCCTTTGCATACGGTAGTGGTGTTAGGCAACCGTGGATGCCTAACACCACTGTTAGGCAACATGGATTTGTTAAAACAAATCCTTCATTACAAACCTGCTCATATTTTTGGAAACCGTAACCAGCTACTCAAATAAAGGCCTTCCGGAGGATGTAGTATACATGGACTTTGCTAAAGCTTTTGATAAGGTACCACATGAAAGACTGGCAAGGAAATTACAGGCCCATAGAATAAATGGTAAAATATTAGAATGGATAAAACAATGGTTGAAGGAAAAAAAACAAAGGGTCGAGCTAAATGGAAACGAATCTGTATGGAGAAATGTGATAAGTGGAGTGCCACAAGGATCCATTTTGGGACCTACCCTTTTTGTCATATACAGTACGTCAATGATATAGATGAGAAAATTACAAACCACATCATCAAATTTGCAGATGACAAAGATTTATGGTAAAGTGGGAAATGATGATGATATTGAAGCCTTACAAAGAGATCTACGAAGCTATAAGAGAGATAAAGATCTACATGAACTCCACAAATGGTCAGAAGACTGCCAAGTGCTTTTTAACATTGACATATGCAAGACACTGCATGTGGGGCATAACAACCCATGCCCCGACTACCAAATTAATAGAATTATATTACAGCAGATTGATGAAGTAAATGACCTTGGAGTCAAAATCCACCACTCGTTAAAAGTTGCACAACAGGTGGGTGCAGCAGTCAGAAAAGTTAACCAAACTCTTGGGATAATCAAGCATACTTTTGACTATAAGGAAAATAAGGTAATGGTTCAACTGCATAAATCTCTGGTTCGACCCCAATTGGATTACTGTATCCAAGCATGGAGACCTCATTTCCAGAAGGACATAGCTGCCCTGGAGAAGGTGCAACACCGGGCAACAAAAGTCATTTTAGAGCTAAGTCATCTCATATCAGGAACGGTTGAGGGTCACAGGGCTAACAACACTGCAAACCAGGCATGACAGGGTGGATCTCATTGAAACGTTTAAAATACTGAACAAGTTTGAGGATGTTGATCCGGATATTTTCTTCAGAAGGTTAGATGTAACACAAACAAGGAGCAACGGTTTCAAGCTCAACAAGCCACACTTTGCCTCAGATCTACAAGATCTTGTTGAAGTTCTCGGTGTACTGCTGCTCTCAGATTGCTCATTGACAATCCAAGGTTCTGCCGATGTAGACCTGACCAAATGTAAACTGTGTCAACAAAATTATTCGCACACCCTCCGTCACTATGTGATGGAGTGTGAAAAGATACGTGAATTTAGAGACAATTCTATAACCAATGTACCAACGATGTGTAAATATTTCATTCAAAATGATCTACTACCAGAAATTTTAGCCAAATATCCCCAGTTTGCTAACTGTAGGTAGTAACTAAGTGATTGTAACCCATCCACCGCTGCCCACTGGATGGGGGGCGGTGTGCAGGACAAACATATAAATTGTGACACTAGCTCTCCACATATGTTAGTTGATTAATTTAGAACCTGTACTTGAGGTCGATCTCGAACCCATTGTTGATGTGATGACTTATATTGAATTTTGTAACTAGCTCATCAAGATTGTAACTTGCTAGCTTAGCTAAATGAATTGTGGGGTTCAGTCCCCGAGCCCATTATGTGCCTCTGTAACCCTTTCCACTACCGCCCACAAGATGGGTATGGGGTGCATAATAAATGAACTAAACTAAAAAAACAAGCCACACTGTAGGACTGAGAACAGGAGATGCTTTTTCACCCACAGCTTCCTGTCCTCGTCGAGGCCACTAGGGTTAATGTCCATCAGATAAATCAGTATTAGAAGTGTTAAGGTTAGGTTACTTGATGTCACCTAAGTATCGTCATCAAAAGATGATACTGTGGATTGTTCTGCCTTTGATACCTCGTAAAGTAAAGACAGTTATCCCCATTTCCATGTGTAAATGCAGTTTATGTTTAATAAATTAAATGTTTAGCATATAGTGTTTCAGGAAATTTTTTCTCCCCCATATTGCAAACCTTTGCCGAATCGATCCCACAAAGGGATCCTCCGCCATATACACGTATTAGCTCTCAAAATAAAATATTTTTGATGAAGTGATTAGTGTGATCTCCCTACACCACCACAGATAGAGCTTAGACATGACCTATATCCTGTCAGATCTTCTCAAGATCTTTTGCTGTTATGTTGAGCATTTTACCTTGCATCTGTTGATAACTACTGTGAGTGGCTTGTACACCTGACCTAGCCTTCCGGATCACAGTAGTGGTCCAGCATTAACTACTGTGAGTGGCTTGTACACCTGTCCTAGCCTTCCTGATCACAGTAGTGGTCCAACACTAAAGTAATCTCGGACACATGGAAGCCCTCTAGTGTAGACAGTGGCAGTGTATGCAGGATCTACATGGAAGCCCTCTAGTGTAGACAGTGGCAGCGTGTGCAGCACCTGCATGGAATCAGTCCGTTTAATTACCCAGAGCTACTCAAAACTACCCAAAGCTTCCTAGCATTATGTAAGTAATGAAGAAATATATCATTTCTTCATTACTTACACAATGCTTGGAAGCTTTGGATAGTTAGACGGACCGGCATGGAACTTGCCGCATCATGCATAAGATTAAGAGTCTTGGCTTGTTTATTCGCGAAGAAGCAACGCAGAATGCACGACATTGGAGTAACAGCATTAACTTTGATCAGATCCAACATCATGTAAATAATATGGGCAATGGTTCAACATTACTACTTTCCTTAAATTCATTGTCGTGTCTCCAGCCAGAAGTGAACGAGAGGACGTTCTTCGAAATGAGTCAAAATGAGTTATTGCACAGGGCTTCCGATACCTGAAAGTCGGAAGCCAGGAGATGGAGCACATTCTCCATAAATATATATGGATAAGTAAAAGTTATGTATAGACGTATTAATGCTTACCTCTGGTGTGTGGTATTTTGTTGATCTCCAGCGACGAGGTCTGCAACAGCCTCGTGTTGAGGCTTCCATTCTCTCTCTACACCTCTTCTTCCCGTTCCTCCTCTTACCCTTCCTCCTGCTCCCTCTTCTGTTCCTTTTTCTGCTGATGCTACTCTTCCTCCTCCTCCTGATTCGTTTTCTTTTCCATCTGGTGGTAGTGGTCGCTGGTGTGTCTTGTCTCCCCCACGGCCTGTCTCATCTCTCATTTGGTACTTGTCCAGTTGTCCCACCCTGACTTTCTCTACCAGAACTTGCGAGCACACAACTTTAGCATCTTTCATCGTGTAGTTATGCTTGTGTTGCGTTATGAGGACAAGCACGCCCTTCGACACACCGCCAAAACCTGGAAAGATGCAGCAAAATTAAGTGGCTACTTTTTCTACAGCATCTATCAGAATCCTCTCAGTATCTTTCAGGCTCCCACAGCATCTTATTGAACTTCCATAGCATCTAGCGTGGTCCTCGCAGCATCTTGCAGGACCCCCTTATATGCCTCTAGCATGATCCCTCCCCCTCCCCACAGTATCCGAGCCTACTGTGCTCTGACTGCAATTGAGAGAAATATCACGATTCATTTAGGTATTGGATTAAAACCATCCGGTTCCCACTTTACATTGTACTACTCTCCAGGGAGCTCTCAACATGAAAGTTTGCATTGCCTGCGCAATGGCCAATCTTAGGCAAGTAGCCTTGTATTCCTTTATGCACGATTCAACCCCAAGAGAATATTACATTAGATACAATGAGCAAGAACACTCCACTGGATGTTGGGTTCTGCCATACATAGTTACTGTACCGTATTATCATCCATGAGAAGCATTTCCGTCGATGGCAAGTTCGACGTCTATATTTTGTCCGTTCTGCCCGAGTAAGTAAGTAAGTAATGGCTTTGCAAGAATGTAAAAATATAAGTAATGTAATCTCACCGACCCATTGTACCTTCTTGTAAATAATGCTACATAACCTTCCCGCCTTGGTGCCTTCTTTTGATAATTACTTGTTGTAAATAAAATATTATTAATATTATTATTTTACTTGGAAGAGTTAGTCATGATGTCAGCAGTTAAGTGCTGCTTTATGCATAAAGAGAAAATTATATTACACAAAGTATTTAGGTATTAATTAACATACGTACATTAATGTTATCTAATTAAATAATAATATAGTTAAAATTGTGTTTGTGTCAATTAAAGGTTAACAATTTCACATGAATGACATACTTAGATCACGGCAAGTATTTGCCATGGCTGTCTGTGGGTATCAACACGGCAGGTTGTAGAGTATACATGGGGGTGTCCTCTTCACCCCTCTCTCGGTCACCTGTACCTCAATAGAATTCTTGGTGACTCGGATACTTTTGATATCGTTCGCCTTATGCGTTTTTGTTCTCGTATTGGCATCCTTGGTGATATTTAGCGCCCTCTGATTATTCTGCACATTTGATGGTGCTACATAGCCTTCCCGGTTTGGTGCCTTCTTTTGATAATTACTTACTTCACCCCTCTCTTGTCACCCTCGCTTCGTCTCCCCCCCCCCTTCTCTTTCTTCTTCTCTCTTCAAACGTCCCCCCCCCCTCTCCTCATTTCTCTTTTCTATTTCCCTCTCTTCCAGCCTCCCCTTCTTCCTCATCTTGCCTCCAACTTTGAACAGCTAGACATTTCCATCTATATGTGCTAGAAGGGGTAGCAACGGTGCCCCTTCTAGCACTGCTGGCTACCCCCCGTCTGTATCTCCCTTACCCACATTCCCCCTTTCTCTTCCTTCTTCCTCCCTTCCCATCCGCACTCTTTTCCTTCACTCCCCTTTTTCCGCCCCCTTCATTTCCTCTCCCATCTCTCCTTTATCCTCCCCCCTCTCTACACTTCTCACACCCTACACCCCTCCCCCCCACCACTCTCTCTCTCTCCACCCTTTCTCTCCCCTCTTCCCTGCCTGGCCTCCAACATTGAGCAGACATTACCATTTAATACTGAATGATCCTTCACTATCGATAACGAAACTGCCTGGCTTCAGAGATAACACATTGCAAATTGATTGTAAGCTATTTAACGTTAGTAACGAGAGGGAGTTCAAGATAATTAAGCTATCTATGGCAGGGTTTCCAATATTCAACAGTTCAACTTGCAAGGTGGCTGGATGACCAGTTACTGACTTATTCCTGTCACTTGTCATGTGGTCGAGTTGATCAACAATGATAGCACTTCCCGCCCCTCACTGTAGCGAGAAGAGGTGCATCACAGTATATGGTGTGTGTGTGTGATCCTGCTTTCACGTTGTGAACTGTGTATTTGTTGAAGCCTAGTTAATTTAGGAGCAAGCAGAGTATGAGGGTTGTGTGAGTAGCGTGGTGGTGTCATGTCACAACGTACTAGCTGCCAGGGTGACAGGAAGTGCTACACTTGTCATCTTTACACACCTCGTCCAACACAAACATTTTAATATGAGTCGTGTTCCTTGAATTCATCCAGAGTCACTAGCACAGCTGCCTGTGTGCTCGCAAAGTTCACCTGATACAATATCTTTACCACGCACAAGCTTTAGTACGATCGTAAAAACGGGCTCGTTCTCTACTCATAATCGAGAATTCCGGGTTCGAATCCCGTGTGGGACACAAATAGCTGGGCGCGTTTTCTATCCCCTAATGCGCCTGTTCACCTAGCAGTAAGTACCCAGGAGGCAATCAGCTTGTTGGGGAGGGAGGGGTGCACCCAGGGGGATGGTCAGTAGTTTGACCTTGGAGTGAGGGGGGGGGGGGGGAGTGCCTCCATATAAGCCTAACATACACTAGTACCTGTCCTCTAACAAAATTAACAATTATTATAAGATTGCGTTCAAACATTCTAACTTGGATGCTGGGTATATCTAATTATTTCCTCATACTAAAAACTTTGGACGGTATTGGACATCGCTGCAGCTATGGTTCACACGGAACTATTTTGTATTTTGACGAATAATGTTGTTATCGTCAAAATATTTGCTTAACATGTAATTTTAACTTTTTCACACAACTTTTTCTCACGCAACACCTAATAGTTTACAGATGCGACAGTGTGAAATGGAGGCGATAGTAAAGAGGCGTTTGGAATAGAGGAGGAATAGTGTGTGTGAGAGTGAGGGGAGAATGAGGGAACACTGAGTTAAGGAACGATGTGAGAGTGAGGGGAAGTATGAGTGCAGGAACAATATGAGAGTGAGGGGAGAAAGTGGGCGAGAGGAGAGAGGGGTGAGTGAGGTAAGAGAGAGAGAGAGAGAGAGAGGGGAGAGGAGAGCATATAAGCAGTAGGAACAACTAAAGTGTTGAATGTTGACATCCTTCGTCACCAAACACGAGTGTTACCATCAACTCTCAGAGTGATCAGCTCACTACTCTTAGTGCAGCCCACCACGCCCACTCTTCCCTACACCACTACCCATGACCCCACACCTGCCAGGCGGTGGGCAGCCCACCACGCCCACTCTTCCCTACAGCACTACCCATGACCCCACACCTGCCAGGCGGTGGGCAGCCCACCACGTCCACTCTTCCCTACACCACTACCCATGACCCCACACCTGCCAGGCGGTGGGCAGCCCACCACGTCCACTCTTCCCTACACCACTACCCATGACCCCACACCTGCCAGGCGGTGGGCAGCCCAACACGTCCACTCTTCCCTACACCACTACCCATGACCCCACACCTGCCAGGCGGTGGGCAGCCCAACACGTCCACTCTTCCCTACACCACTACCCATGACCCCACACCTGCCAGGCGGTGGGCAGCCCAACACGTGCACTCTTCCCTACACCACTACCCATGACCCCACACCTGCCAGGCGGTGGGCAGCCCACCACGTCCACTCTTCCCTACAGCACTACCCATGACCCCACACCTGCCAGGCGGTGGGCAGCCCAACACGTCCACTCTTCCCTACACCACTACCCATGACCCCACACCTGCCAGGCGGTAGGCAGCCCACCACGTCCACTCTTCCCTACAGCACTACCCATGACCCCACACCTGCCAGGCGGTGGGCAGCCCAACACGTCCACTCTTCCCTACAGCAGTACCCATGACCCCACACCTGCCAGGCGGTAGGCAGCCCACCACGTCCACTCTTCCCTACACCACTACCCATGACCCCACACCTGCCAGGCGGTGGGCAGCCCAACACGTCCACTCTTCCCTACAGCACTACCCATGACCCCACACCTGCCAGGCGGTGGGCAGCCCACCACGTCCACTCTTCCCTACAGCACTACCCATGACCCCACACCTGCCAGGCGGTGGTAAGTGACTGTCAAGTTGCTCCAGGGGCCCTGGTAAGTGACTGTCAAGTTCTCCAGGGGCCCTGGTAAGTGACTGTCAAGTTCTCCAGGGGCCCTGGTAAGTGACTGTCAAGTTCTCCAGGGGCCCTGGTAAGTGACTGTCAAGTTGTCCAGGGGCCCTGGTAAGAGACTGTCAAGTTGTCCAGGGGCCCTGGTAAGAGTGTCAAGTTGTCCAGGGGCCCTGGTAAGAGACTGTCAAGTTCTCCAGGGGCCCTGGTAAGAGACTGTCAAGTTGTCCAGGGGCCCTGGTAAGTGACTGTCAAGTTGTCCAGGGGCCCTGGTAAGAGACTGTCAAGTTGTCCAGGGGCCCTGGTAAGAGACTGTCAAGTTGTCCAGGGGCCCTGGTAAGAGACTGTCAAGTTGCTGAACTTATCGAGACTTAACTGGCGCCCTTCTTGATCCAGCAGACTTCCTGCTCTCTTCTTGCTAGACTGGGTCTTTTCATTTGCATAGAGTGTTTACACAGATTAAGTTTGACTCTGAGGATATCAAAGAGATATTTATTTCTGGTGTGGTGATAATGGGTCCTATTACATCTGTCCATGGAGAGTTTCAGAGCAGATTTGCATTTAAGAACAGGGTTTTGTAAATGTAACTGACACAAGAAAATGTGTGGAGTGAGTTTATGTTTTAAATTGCTAACTTTATTGTGCACGCTACCCTCACCCTGAGGCAGCTTACCCTCCACTCACACCTCACCCTGGGGCAGCTTACCCTCCCCCACACCTCACCCTGGGGCAGCTTACCCTCCACTCACACCTCACCCTGGGGCAGCTTACCCTCCCCCACACCTCACCCTGGGGCAGCTTACCCTCCCCCACACCTCACCCTGGGGCAGCTTACCCTCCCCCACACCTCACCCTGGGGCAGCTTACCCTCCCTCACACCTCACCCTGGTGCAGCTTACCCTCCCTCACACCTCACCCTGGGGCAGCTTACCCTCCCTCACACCTCACCCTGGGGCAGCTTACCCTCCCCCACACCTCACCCTGGGGCAGCTTACCCTCCCTCACACCTCACCCTGGGGCAGCTTAC